CAGGACCAGATGGCTTCTCAGGGGAGTTTTACCACACATTCAAGAAAGAACTAGCAGCGGGAAAGGCCTGGCCTCCCCTCTGGGCAGGCGTCCGCCCCTGCGGGCCAAAATCAAATCGGAGACCAGCCCGCGCAAGATCCTGTGAGGAGCTGGAGTCCAGCCTGCCGGGCAGCGGTGGCGCGAGCACCTGTGTCCACTTCCCAGCCACCTGCCCTACGCGCTCGGCCGCCCCCTGTCGAGGCATGGCCACCCCACCTAAGAAGAGCTGCCCCTCTCCCGAGACCAGCTCGGAGGGAACCCGCATCAAGACAATTTCCATCGAAGGGAACATCACTGCAGGGAAGTCAACATTTGTGAATATCCTTAAACAAGTCTTCCAGGATTGTGAAGTGGTTCCTGAACTTATTGCCAGATGGTGCAATGTTAAAAGTACTCAAGATGAATTTCAGGAACTGACCACATCTCAGAATAGTGATGGGAATGTTCTTCAGATGATGTATGAGAAACCTGAGCGATGGTCTTTTACCTTCCAGGAAAATGCCTGCCTCAGTCGCATACGAGCTCAGCTTGACTCTCTCAACGGCAAGATCAAAGATGCGGAGAAACCTGTATTATTTTTTGAACGATCTGTGTATAGTGACAGGTATATTTTTGCATCTAATTTGTATGAATCTGAATGTATGAATGAAACAGAGTGGACAATTTATCAGGACTGGCATGACTGGATGAATAACCAATTTGGCCAAAGCCTTGAACTGGATGGAATCATTTATCTTCGAGCTAGTCCAGAGGTGAGACTTAATAAACATTTGCTTGTTCCTTTGAAAATTTAAAGTAATATTTAGAAAATTTTCAGTGTTATGCAGTGAAGGCAGAATAATAAACTTCACTCTCAACCCTCTAGATTCCTACCTCCAAATTAAAAACTGAGAACTGTGTAGATAGAAGCATTCTATTTTCTCAGCAAACTAGAAACCCAGATTTGGCAGGTTGCTCTTTTAGGTTCTTGTTTGTTCTATCTCAGTTCTGTTCTTCATTATTTCTTAACTTTTGCAGAGTATCTTATCACAACTAGATTAAGAAACTTGCTTAAGCAACTTCTAGAATATGGGCTTCATGAGGTGAGACTTTGGATATTTTAATTACTGTTGAATTTTCACTGTCTAGAATAAGCCTTGGATACACAGTAAATATTTGCTGAATGAATGGCAAAATTGATAAGAGGAAATCTTTCGTGGTTTTGGTTTGGAATGGGTGGGTAGTAGCAGCTATAGTTGAGAAGAGACTTAGTGGACCCTTGCCATTTTTAGTTAAGGGAGTTTACTTGAAATTGTGCCTTTCATCATAGGTTGTAACATAGCTATTGTTTACATATGAAATTATGTAATGAATGCAGGAAGACCAAGTGGGATGCCTTTCATAAAACTAACCTAAACGAGAGCTTACATTTATTAAATTTCTGGTTTTGGTGCTTGCATTCCCATTTTTCTTAGATTTTTATTTCTACTTATTCCTTGAGTCACAAAGTAGGTTCTGATGCATGTAAATGTTACGACTCCTAGCCTGAAAGAATACTGTGTTATATTGAAGCTCAGTTTTCAAAGGAACTATGTTTTTGATTCTAAGTGATGATTTTGTTCTTCTAATATCAAGTAAACCAGAATTTAATAATAATTTTGAAATTTACTTTTATTTCTGAAAATAATTTTTTAATTATGAAAATAAATGCAAATATAGAAGAAAGAATAATGATAATTTCATTGTTAGAAACAGATAATATCTTAAAGTCTAATATAAATCTATTATTTCATTAATATTTATGATATCCTTTGATTAGAGGATCATTTAATTATTTGAAAAGAGAATTTATAATAGAATTAGCAGCACAGTTTTATTCTGAACTTTTTTCTTTTCATCAAACTTATTTTAGACAATACATTTCAAATGTGAGTGCCAAAGGTTTATAGACTTATTTTTGAAAGTGCTATTTGGTTTAGATCCACCAAATCGTTGAAAAGTATAGGGAGGGAAAAAGGAACTATTGTTTGTTCTTGGAAGGAATAGAGATTTTCGTTAGCATGACTAAAAAGACACTAAAGAAGAAAAATTTAATGGCATCAGACAAGAATAATTGTCCCCCCCCACCCTCTCTTCTTTTTCATTTTTTAATATATTTTGGTTGATTTCAGAGAAGAAGAGAGAGGGAGAGAGAGATTGAAACATCAATGATGAGAATCATTGATCAGCTGCCTCCTGCATGCCCCCTACCCCCTACTGGGGATTGAGCCTGCAACCCAGGCATGTGCCCTTGACCAGAATCGAACTCGGGACCCGTCAGTCCCCAGGCCGATGCTCTATCCACTGAGCCAAACCAGATGGTCTTAGGCGACCCCTGTGAAAGGGTCATTCGACCCCCAAAGGGGTCGCAACCCACAGGTTGAGAACCGCTGCTCTATAGCAATGGTCATCTTCCTTTCTTCCTAAAACTCTGAATTTATTCCTTCATTTACTTTTCAAATACTCATCAACCAATTCTATTCATTAAGAAGAAAAACTTTCTCTTACTACTTTTACTTGGGAATTGAAATATTCCTACCTACTCAGCATCTGTTCTGTACATTTCTTCATTCATACATTCGTCCAACAAATGTCTACTAATGCCAACTATGGCCCAGGCATTGTTTCTGGTGGCATAATAATGACTAAGCTGGACACAGTGGGCCACCTCATACAGTTTTTTTTCTTTTTCTTTTTTATTGCTTAAAGTATTACTAAGGGTATTACATATGTGTCCTTTTTTTTCCCCGCCCTTGACAATCCCCTGGCCTCCCCTACCCCCCAGTGTTTTATGTCCATTGGTTATGCTTATATGCATGCATACAAGTCCTTCGGTTGATCTCTTACTCCCCTCCCTTCTGCCCCCCAACCCTCTCTGGCCTTCCCACTGCAGTTTGACAATCAGTTTGAGGCAGCTCTGCCTCTGTATCTATTATTGTTCAAAAGTTTGTAATGGTCTTTATTATCCATGAATGAGTGAGATCATGTGGTATTTTTCCTTCATTGACTGGCTTATTTCACTTAGCATAATGCTCTCCAGCTCCATCCATGCCGTTGCAAATTGTAAGAGTTCCTTCTTTTTTACAGCAGCATAGTATTCCATCGTGTAGATGTACCACAGTTTTCTAATCCATTCATCTACTGATGGGCACTTAGGCTGTTTCCAGATCTTAGCTATGGTGAATTGTGCTGCTATGAACATATGGGTGCATATATCCTTTCTGATTGGTGTTTCTGGTTTCTTGGGATATATTCCTAGAAGTGGGATCACAGGGTCAAATGGGAGTTCCATTTCCAGCTTTTTGAGGAAACTCCATACTGTCTTCCATAGTGGCTGCACCAGTCTGCATTCCCACCAGCAGTGCATGAGTGTTCCTTTTTCTCCACATCCTCTCCAGCACTTGTCGTTTGTTGATTTGTTGATGATAGCCATTCTGACAGGTGTGAGATGGTACCTCATTGTTGTTTTGATTTGCATCTCTCGGATGATTAGCGGCTTTGAGCATGTTTTCATATGTCTCTTGGCTTTCTGAATGTCCTCTTTTGAAAGGTGTCTATTTAGGTCCTTTGCCCATTTTTTGATTGGATTGTTTATCTTCCTTTTGTTAAGTTGTATGAGTTCCCTATAGATTTTGGAGATTAGGCCCTTATCAGAAATCAACAAATGACAAGTGCTGGAGAGGATGTGGAGAAAAAGGAACACTTGTGCACTGCTGGTGGGAATGCAGACTGGTGCAGCCACTATGGAAGACAGTATGGAGTTTCCTCAAAAAACAAAACATGGAACTCCCATTTGACCCTGTGATCCCACTTCTAGGAATATATCCCAAGAAACCAGAAACACCAATCAGAAAGGATATGTGCACCCATATGTTCATAGCAGCACAATTCACCATAGCTAAGATCTGGAAACAGCCTAAGTGCCCATCAGTAGATGAATGGATTAGAAAACTGTGGTACATCTACACGATGAAATACTATGCTGCTATAAAAAAGAAGCAACTCTTACCTTTTGCAACGGCATGGATGGAACTGGATAGCATTATGCTAAGTGAAACAAGCCAGTCAATGAAGGAAAAATACCACATGATCTCACTCATTCATGGATAATAAAGACCATTATAAACCTATGAACAAAAGTAGATACAGAGGCAGAGCTGCCTCAAACAGATTGTCAAACTGCAGCAGGAAGTCCAGGGAGAGTACAGGGGCAGAAGTGGGGGTAAGTGATCAACCGAAAGACTTATATGCATGCATATAAGCATAACCAATGGACATAAGACACTGGGGGGTATGGAAGGCCTGGAGATTGTCAAGGGCGGGGGGAAAAAGGAGACATATGTAATACCCTTTGTAATACTTTAAGCAATAAAACAATAAAAAAAGGAAATATAAAAAAAAAGAAAGAAAGAAAAAACCAGGTTGATTTTTCCACTAACAAAGGGTTTGAGTATGAAAGCACTTTTTACCCATATCGTGAACACACACAATTGTTCAATTATAGGAAAGTAGGTAACATGGGGTAATCGTCAGACTGTGAAAATCACTAGTCAGAGTTCTCTAGGAGACCAGATGGCCAGAGAAGAGGCTTTTGGGGACAGGCTAGTGGCTACTTGGGAATACTGTTTAAAAAAAAAAAGAAATTATCTTTGGCCAACAGATACAATGTTTTGCCTTTGAGGTTACTTGATGCCAACCAGAACATCGTTGTCTTGAATACATTATGATTATGGGAGTGGTTGTGCAACAGAGAAGGAAAAAGCAGAGTCAGGGAACTGGATGAGTTAAGTTTGAATCAAAATGAAAGAAAAGAGCCCTAATGGCATGGCTCAGTGGTTGATCATTGACCTATGAACCAGAAGGTCATGGTTCAATTTCGGGTTGGGACACATGCCCGGGCTGAGGACTAGATTTCTAGTGTAAGGTGTGCAGGAGGCAGCTGATTAATGATGGTCTCTCATCATTCATGTTTCTATCTCTCTCTCTTCCCCCTTCATCTCTGAAGTCAATAAAAATATATTTCAAAAAAGGAAGAAAGGAGAAAAGGTAATATTAAAGAAATAAAATTTCTGGGCTTATGATCAGTGTCAAAATATGTTTTTTACTGCTAAAAAAAGTAGATGGCAGCACAGGAAATTTTCTGTCAATTGCAGTTGATTCAAACTATCTTTTAAGAAAATGCTTTAGAAATTGGAAAATTGCTTCTTTATAAATGCCACAGCATGACCATGATAAATTACTTTTAAGTGTGAAATGTTTTGGTGACATTATAGAAAAAATAACTGAAATAACACAGGAGAAGGTGAGTACAGGAAGAGGTTAAAGCCCATTTCTGTCTTTTAAATGATATCTCTATTTTTAATTTTTGAGGAAACTCCATACTATTGTTCCATAACAGCTGCCCCAGACTGCATTCCCACCAGTAGTGTACAAGGGCTCCCTTTTCTTCACATACTCACCAGCACTTGTCACTTGTTGATGGTAGACATTTGAAAGGTGTGAGATGATACCTCAGTGATATTTTAATTTGCATCTCTCTGATGATTGAGCATTTTTTCCTATGGCTCTTGGCCATCTGTATGTCCATTTTGGAGAAGTGTCTATTAATTCCTTTGCTCATTTTAAAACTGGATTGTCTTCTTTTGTTAAGGTATATGAGTTCTTTATATATTTTGGATATTAACACTTTATCATATGAATCACTGACAAATATGTTCTCCCATACAGTGGTATCTCTGTTTATTTTGTTGATTTCTTTTGCTTTGCAGAAGATTTTATATTGATGTAGTCCCATTTGTTTGCTCAATGTTTAGAGCCCTGGCCTTTGAACCAAAGGGCTACAGGTTGTATGGGCCGTCAGAGCATTTAACTTGGTTGCAGACTCAATCCCCAGCCCAGAGGCATCCAGGAGGCAACAAATCAGTGTCTCTCACACATCTGTTTTTTTTCTTTCTTTCCCTTTCTCTCTCTCACTCCTCCTTTCCCTCCACTCTCTTTAAAAAAATGAATGGAAAAAATTTGCTCAAGTGAGGATTATATATACTGAGTGTAATTGGGTTGATTTCTAGGTTCTCAGAATGGAACTGCCATTTTACCTGGTAGGTACCACTTCTAGGAATATATCTTGAGACCCAAAACACAAATCAGAAAGTATCTACGCATCCCTGTGTTCATAGAAGTTCAGACCTAGAAACAGCCCAAGTGCCCATAAGAAGATGAGTGGATAAAAAAGGTGTGGTACATTTATACAATGCAGCTGTAAAAAAAAGGAGCTTTTTTCCTTTGACACAGCATGGCGTGGCCTGGAGAGTACATACTAAGTGAAATGAGTGAGTCAGAGAAAGACAAATATTACATTATCCCACTCAATTGTGGAATCTAAGTAACAAAATAAATTGATGAACAAAATAGATGCAGAGGCATGAAACAGACTGATTAATCTCATAGGGAAGAGGGGTGGTGAGGGGTGGGAAGAGATTAACCAAAGAAATTATATGCATACTGGAGACCCAGTATATGGATTCATGCACCTGTGGGGTCCCTCATACTGGTGTGTGCCCTCTTGAAATCCAGGACTCCTT